TATGTAATTCGCATAATTCTTCAATTATTTTTTTATCCAAGAAACCCTGGGACTTATTTGCATCGTGTAACATATTTTAGATCTCCAGATGCAAATTGATCTTTATACAAATATGTTTATGACAAACAATATTTTAAATAAGCATTTTGCACAAATTATTTCTTGATATTTAAATGGAAACTTGTCAACTTAATATATAAAGATCGATTTACTCATGATAAAAATCGAATAGTTTATTTATTTAAACAATAGTTCATAAGAAAATTATAATTCAAATATAGATTTTATATAATTTATATATAAACATATAACTTATAAAAGCAAAAATTATTATTTTGGCTATATGAAGTAAATTTTTGATTAGCAATACGATAATATTAAATTGCAAAACTCTATATATACTCTTTTATATTAGGCTGTTAATTCTATTTCCTTCCTGTTAAAAATTGCGTTACATGATCTTCAGGTTCAAGATTTTGTTGTCTTTAAAATACTAACCTAGTTTCTAACTATAATTTTGTCTATGATTTTTTTTTTAAGTTAATCTATTTTTCAAAAAGTTATTTAATATATGCAGATAAGTAATGCTTTCTCTATGTTTAGCAGGTTTTAATTCAAAATTTGGTTGGTTTGCATCAAGAACCAATATTTTTCATAGACTCTAATTGTTAGATATCTAGTTTTCTATTATAAATTTAATTTCTACCACTTATTATTTTATTATTTACCATGTAACTCTTTAAAAGGATTCATTTTTAAATGCAAAAGCTAATCTAAATTTATTATCTTTGAATTTCTATTGGTTTATTCAGTTTAATAAATTACGTTTTATAAGCGAATTTAATTATCCGGAGCGTGGTGGAGTATATTATGGGAATTAATAGACCAGATTTGTGTGTCCGCACATATTTTTCAATTTATACAGTATAATATATTAACTTCTGCTAACTAATATATTTAATTTATTTTTAGCTATCGTCCAAATATCTAACAGTGTCTGTTTCTGGTTAATGCATTGTATATTAGAGTTTTAAAAAATTTAGACTATTAACCTGATTAAAGTTTAAATTACTTTAATCAGCATTTGCTATCAGCTAATTTTTGATAATAAATATATGCTTTATATTCGTCCTTTTCAACACCAATTCCATTCCGATACAAATATGCAACTTTGTCCATTCCATCAGTATACCCTATATCTACAGCCTTTTTATAATAAGTGAATGCCTTGTTTTGATCAACAGTAACCCCAACACCATATTGATAACAATAACCAACATTGTATGTTGCAACACTACATCCCATGTCTGCAGCTTTTTTATAATAAATGAATGCTTTATTTTCATCTTTTGCGACACCAATTCCATTATGATAACAATAACCAACTTGAGATGTTCCACTAGCACTACACTTATCAACCGACTTTTGATAATATTTGAGTGCTTTACTTTCATCCTTTTCAACTCCAATTCCATGTTGATAACAATAACCAACACCATATGTTCCCATAGCGTGACCCATTTTGTGTGATTTTTTATAATAAAAAAATGCTTTACTTTCATCTTTTTTAACACCTATTCCTTTTTTATAACAATATGCAAGTTTATCTAACCCACAAGGATCATCCAGTTCAGCTGACATTTGATAATAACTAAATGCTTTGTTTTTATCTTTTTTAACCCCGATTCCATACTCATATAATTCGCCAAGATCACACATTCCATAGGAATTTCCCATATCAACAGACTTTTTATAATAAATGAATGATTTATATTCATCCTTTTTAACTAATCTTCCATAACGATAGCAACGTGCGAGAATAGTTAAAAGAATAGAATTTGATTGATTATTTAAACACAAATTAATTAAATCCTTTGATTTTAATTGATTTCTTTCCAAATATTCTTCTATTGAATTAATAAATTCAGAATCATAACTTCCTTTGGACATTTCTTTTTTATGTAATTCGCATAATTCTTCAATTATTTTTTTATCCAAGAAACCCTGGGACTTATTTGCATCGTGTAACATATTT